TGAAACATTTCTCGTACTTTGGCTGTTTCAGTGCCTTTAAGCCATTGGATAGGTTTCTAGATATAACCATAATTGTAAAACAGCTAAAATGGTTTGATTCCTTTTTCGGCACTTGAACGCTGTGGTTTTTGTATGTCTTCGTTAACTCACTAGCTAGCATTTTCTTCGGGTGCATTGCGAAACTTAGGGCAGTTATCTTCAATTTGCCCCAAGGTTTCAGCAGTACGCGCGGTGTCTGCCACAAAGTCTCTGCTGTACGCCCGAAGTCAGTGCCAGCTGAATCGCTTTATGGGCAAAAAGCACGAAACTGACATTACTATAAAGATGGGTGGTTAGTTCGTGTTTTACTCGAATTACTGATGTTTGCTCAAAATCTTGTCACCCGACGTCATTGTCGTAGTTTCCCTTGGAGATACGTTGTGAAAGACAGCCTGTCCGCGAACGAACTCAGATGGGTGAAGTTAAACTATAACATCCACTCAGAATCTATCTTAAGTTTCAGATCGGTTCAGATGCTGAATCTGGATCCGTTCCCACATATGCATGTTTTGGTAACTCCAGTTCATCCATTATTCCCACATAAGTCAAATACCCGATCTTGCAGGAACCTGTTAAGCAGATCCAAAACAGAAGACAATCTGACTTTGGGTGACGTCGTTTGTAGCTCCAGTTAGTTGTCGAAGGTCATATGCCGGCGTTACTGTTAACTTAGCCTAAAATCAGATTTCTCTGATACTAGCATGACGGCTAGTTGGGGCTCTTCAAAGGTTACCCCTTGCAAGTGATGTTTAAATGCACAGGTTTACAATCGATATCTCACACTGCTCTTGATCGTATTCCACTCCTTCAATTATAATAAAGATTATTATTTCCATGTATAATAATAATGCCAACGACTTTTCATTGTTCCAAAAATCCACATAAACAATACCCTGTGCATCCGAAATCCTCAGTTCTATAGGAACTGAAATAATTTAACGTCTAACACAAGTCACTTCTCAAAAAATACCGAAATAAAGTCTAGCCTGTCACGGACTGAATCACTAAAGTATCTATAGAACGTCTGATTGATGCAAAGACTTCAGTTCCAGTTAGTGATTCTCATTGTCGAATCCCGCTCCACTTCCTTCATCATGAGCAATAAGTGTAGTACATGAGAGATCGAATAGCTTTATAGCAGACGTATAACTTTGGGTAATTAGGTAGAGTTAATTGACGAAGTTTTCAAGCCCTATGCATTAAAGTAGCTAGAGTATGCGTTGCACATGTCGAGCTACCGCCCTCCTTAACGATCAACCTCAACTGATATTATGTTAGACTGTAAAAGTTAAGGTAATCAGACAAAATATAACAACGATCTGTGAAGTTTGCTGTTATCTTCCGTCTGTCACCTAGGATTTTATTTCTACTCTCGACAATGTTCTTTATTTGATCCCAAAGAACACATGCTATACTTAGTATCAATAACCAAAAAAAAACCCAGTAATTTTAGTACAAGAGTCGAATTTGAACTCGAACGGAAATTAGTCCAATGCTAAACGATTTTGCATAACACTTTTGACTCACTGCATTGGTTATGATCACATTAAGGTAACTATAGGGTTTTTCGCTTTGTCGTCCGTGTTTCTTTTGCTGCTTATTTTTTGATTTCTAGAGGTAGTAGAATCCAGAATGTGCATCCCATCTTACCTTGAACTTTTTTTACATGGCTACAAATTATGCTTCAAATGTCCTCAGCAAATAAATAATACTGCAAGACTATTTGAGACTCGTCAGCTGGGTGTACCTTCAATCCAGGGAGCTATGGTGTTTCTAAGATCTAACACCGACAGGTTATTCATTAGGTTATCAAACTACGAATTTAGTGTTTAACCATTCCTATTGCTCATGTTAAACTACACGTCGATAAAGGTTAAATTTTATTCGATTTTTAAGCCGAATGCCTGGTTTAAAGTAAATTAAGGACGTTATAGTGTAGTAATTTAGGACAGAAACATCAGAAAGCTTGTGTATTATTATTGTTGGTAATGATCCTAGAATTAAGGTTACCCATGTTCTTTTATGATTATTTATAAACAAAAATTTTTCCCCTTAAGGATTCTGTTTACCAGCTGCACAAAATTATTTAGTTTTCCAAATTACACGTTATAACTGATTCAATTTCAACATAGAGGTTTGCATAAAAGTGCACCAATTTGACTCGCTACACCTTCATGAAGCATACAAAGGGAGACAAAAGAGGGAAACAGATTCTGGAGAACGATAATAAGCATGAATGTGGCGGTGAAAGAAGGTGAACATGGAGAAATCGTAGGATTTTATTGGACGTGACAGATCGTACAGAGTAAAGGCATCTGTGCTAGCCATTAACGGCGAGGATTTTGAGCCATATCACCAATTGTCTCCAGTCTTCATTAGTTCTTACCATCCAGAAGACACCAACTAGCCAAGCAGTCTACACCTGCCTACGTGGCTGGCTGGCTGGCTTAAACTAACTGTTGTGGATTTCATTGACTGATGAAACCATGTTTTGGTTCGACCACCACTAGCACCTCTTTTACAACCTAATCCCATGTCCATCAGCTAACATTCCCCGTCAAAAAATCCCATGACTAGGCGTGTGTAACATATGTCATAACCATCTTAATAAATTCACCTTCACGACTTCGTCGATTCAATCCCCCCTCCTTATCTAACACTCGACTGAATCCTAACCTCAATATTACTCACCCTATTGTGCCATTTAATATGGAAGGTAGAATGCAAACACCAATGGTAAAAGAAAGCTAGCCAGCGTTTTTATTTCTTGCACACTGTCAATGACCCTGTCTCAGTCACAGCCATAAAGGAGGATGGAGCGAACTGCCTGTGTGCAATACACACATGCTTTGATCGAAAGTCAGCTGGATATCACGTCCACTCCAGAGACTGCAAATGCCACATGAGCCTTACATATCAATGCTGAGATTTCGTCCGTAATCAGTCAATGTGTTGAGGCTGATGTGACTTCTCAAAATAAGTGGATCAGTACGCTCTACCACTTCACTTCATATCTTTAAGCTTGGAGTCGATGTAGTCCAGTCCTGTAGCATCGCCTTACATTTGACAGAAGCAAATAGAATAACAAACGTTCGAAAATTGCTTTCTGATCAATGTGTCCAGAAGACTGCTCTATTTTATTAGCGTCTTCACTTAGAAGGACTATATCATGAGTATATTCTAAGTCAACAAAATTATACCCTGGTAACAAGTCAATCCGTGAGTCGTTGAAGTCAGTTGAGGTCAAGTCCATCAGTGCATCTGTGATGAAATTAAACTGAAGGACACCACTGGTTATCACTTCAGATAAGAACGACTGCATGAGTTCTAGTAGAGTGTCTTAGTCAGTACGATGTATTTTCTCGGTATTCACTTTACAGCCAAACATCGCCATAGCACCTCTAGGTTGACGAAATCGAATGCCGCTTTCAGATCAAGAAATATGATGATTGTTGGATGGTGGTAAGTATGCCTATGCTCCAGAATCTGTCGAAGGGTGAAAATATGATCAATACACTCTTCCTGGTCTAAAACCTGCCTGGTTCTCTCGTGTTTGTTTCTCTCAGGCGCCAATTAGTCCAGTCTTAATGATTTAGCCTAAAGCCATAGATACCATATTTTTAAACTTCCCCTTATGATTATCACAGGAAGAAGAAGTTATAACTTCGATAAAATCAGGCAATCAAGATATCAGGTCATCGTAATTCAGTTAGATATAGCATGATAGATTTCATCGGGACAAGCTCTCCAGAGAAAGACTCAACTATCACTACTCATGCATCAACACAATGTGGGTGTAAAATAACTAGCCCTATAAGTTATACGTTTATACAGGGAGATAGTTGATAGTTGGTGGATTAGAGTCTTCTGAACACCTTGAGCAGCAATCTTCGTATGTTTGGCATGCGATTCGCCCCTGTAAAATGTAAGATACTGCTACAGGACTGACTGGACTACGTCAACTCCTAGCTTAGTGATAGGGAGTGAAGTGATAGAACATGTTGACCAATTCACCTATCTGGGAAGTTGTATCAGCACCAACGGATTGATTGGTGACGAAATCTCAGCACGGATCCAAAAAGCTCGGGCTGATTTCGCTAACTTACACCATCTCTGGCCTAGGCGTGACATCCGACTATCAACCAAGAGACGTGTGTACTGCTCAACAGTTCGCTCCGTCCTTCTCTATGGCTCTGAAACATGACCAATACGAGTTGAAGACATGAAAAGGTTGACTGTTCTTGATCATAGATGTCTACGATCTCTTTCTCACGTTAGGTGGCAAAATAAGGTAAGTAGTGTTGACGTTAGGCGTAGAGTGTTGGGCAAAGAGGGAAAATCAATCGACGAGGCTATAAAGTTACATAGATTGAGATGGCTAGGTGACGTGCTGCGCATGCCTAACCATCGCCTCCACCGACTGACGGGCATTACTAGCTGATATAGGCGCAGTGGTGGCCAAACAAAAACATGGCCTCATCAATCCATGAAATTCTTGACAGTTAAACTGAGTCAGGTAGGGAGATGCAGACTTCCGGGTTGGGGCCCGCCCTCGTGACTCTAAGAATCAATGGCTGGAGACAATAGGTGACATGGCTCAAAATCGTTGTCAATGGCTTACGCAGATGTATTCAGTCTCTGTAATCTTTCATATTCCTTTCTACCATTACTCATTCTGTTTCACTCTTATACTTGTCAAAACTCGATTGATTCTCTTCACTTATTTTCTTGTCTACCTTTGTGTGCTATTTGGAACGTGGCAACTGGAACTGCTGCACTTCGGTGCCAAGTTCTATGTTGAATCCAGACAGACAGACAGTTGGTGGATTGGTTACGAAATCAATTTTCATATTCAAGCCTCATATTAAGTTCCAAATCTTTCTTATTTGTTGCTTAATTATTATTATTATTTTTTTGTTTATTAAAAATAACACAAGTCTAATTTTAAAACTCTAATTTTAGGTACTTTTTGTGATTGTCTATCGTTCACAAAAAAAAATGTCATTTGGTCGACGTGGTGGTCGATGGGGTATGAATTTCATCTCTGGTTCTGGTCCACAGCACAGTTTATCAACTCATTCGCTATTCAACGAAGATGCATCAGATGAACAGCATAGAAAATCTGGAAATAAATCATCATCATCAAATCACTCCAGAATTGGAGGCGCCTCAGTTCCACCACCGCCATCTCTTGGTTATCGTAATAGTAAAGGCTATACGGATCCGAATGAAGTACTTATGCAACATAGTGCTTTTGCTGGAACACAAGGCGGCAGTAGTAGTATGCCAAGAGCTTTTGCTAATTTAGGTCGTAAAAGAGTAGCAGATGAGGATGAGTAAGTTTGTTAATTCTACCCAGGGTAACTTGTTATTATTATTATTATTGTTTCCTTTAATTCCTAGAGGAACATAGGGCTTCAGCCGTGCGTCTCCATTGCGTTCGGTTCTCTGCTAGAGTCTTCACCTGGCTTCAAGTCTGCCCACACGTTTTCATCTCCTCTTCACATCACCTCCTCCAAGTCACCCTTGCACTGACGACCAACTCGCCGATTCCCTTTCGGGTTTCACTTGAGCAATGGCTTGTTGGTTTCCTCAGAGTATGGCCAATCCATCTCCATTTCTTCCTGCCTATTTGTTTCACAATCGGTGTATTTCAATTGGCCCTTATTTTTTATATGACTGACTGGCTACAACTGTAAACTTTGCACAGATATGTGCAGCAGTTCCAGTTGTCACACTCCCTCCATGTACCAGACAAAGCAAGAGAAGAGATTGAAGTGTGATTCGAAAGAGAGAGAGAGAGGTAATAAGTGGAAATATGAAGCTAAAAGTATAGTAATTTGAAAGAACAACAGAATTTTACTGGATATTATAAATCACAAAGAGTGAATGTATCTACGCTAGTCATTGAGAACGATGATTTTAAGCCATATCACCATTTGTCTCCATCCGTCATTGGTTCTTACCATTCCCAGAACCCCAAACAGGAAGCCATTCTACACCTGCCTATGTTGCTGGCTGGCTGACTGGCTTAAACTAATTGTTGTGGATTTCACTGACTGATGAAGCCATGTTTTCGTTTGACCACCACTAGCAGCTCTTTTCCAGCCTGATCCTATGTTCGTCAGCTAACATTTCCTGTCGAGGAGGACGATGGCTAGTCTAGACATGCGTAACACATGTCCTAACCATATCAATTGGTGTAACTTCACAAACTCGTCGATTGATTTCCCCTCCTTACCTATCACTTGACTATTATACATATATATGTATATATAATGTCAAACAAACTCGAAGACTTGCAAGCGAAAACAAGCAAACTAGCTGGACAGACAGTCGGCAAAGACAGGAATCCAGGTGAACATTGAGAAAACGGAGGTGATGAAGGTAATCAACCAACAACAGCAACAACAACCCGCTCCAATCACCACCACCAATGGCAGGGATTTAAAGGAGGTTACTTCCTTCACTTATCCGGTTAGGAAGCACGGTTTCAACCACAGGCACACGCCGAACGGATGATGTCAAAGCCAGTTAGAATAGAAAAGGCAAGATGAAACGCCTTCGTCAACCTGAAACCAGTTTAGAGAGCTTCCGCACTCAGCATAAGGAATAAGATTCGCATTTTCAACACCAATGTGAAGTCAGTCAGTCAGTTCTTCCATATAAGGGTCAGAAACTTGGTGTGGGCGTCACGAAAAGGATTCTACAACAAGTAACAAACTTTTATCAACAGGTGCCTTCGGTGGCTCCATACTGAAAGGAAGAATTAGTAACAAGAAACTCTGGCTGGCAGAAAACCAACCAACCAAGAGCTGATCGGTGAAAAAATCTGTTGGAGATGCATGGATCGGGCATGCTTTAAGGAGGCCGTCGAATGATATCGCGTTCAATGCAGGCTATCACTCAAGTGGCATGCAAATGGGAAGCGATGAGTGGGTTGCCGGTAAAGGGGCAGGTGACATGGAGGAGATGGTGTGGCGGCGATGAAGAGATGAGAGATTATGGGAAACCGTGGACGCAGCAGAAGTGGATGCTGAAAAATGGAACAGAGTGGTGATGTGTTGTTGAAGCCCTACGTTTTGCTCGGAACCCAAGGGAATAATTTATCTATGTATATATGACGGTTATTATTGATTGGGATAAAGTGATTATTATTATTTATTATTATTATTATTATTGTATCCTTTAATTCCTAGAGGAACATAGGGCTTCAGCCATGCGTCTCCATTGCGTTCCGTTCTCTGCTAGAATCTTCACCTGACTCCATGTCTGCCCACACGTTTTCATCTCCTCTTCACATGACCTCCTCCAAGTCACCCTTGCACTGACGACCAACTCGCCGCTTCCCTTTGGGGTTCCACTTGGGCGATGGCTTGTCTAGTGATGTCACTTGATGGTTGGTTTCTTCAGAGTATGGCCAGCCAATCCATCTCCATTTCTTCCTGCTTATTTGTTTCACAATCGGTTCCTGCTGTGTTGGTTCGCTCATTGCCAGAGATCGCTGTTGCTGATCAACTCTGGATGGGTGGCCATCTGATCTTGAGTATTGAGCGAAAACAACTGTTAATGAAGGTGTGTAGTTTGTTTGAGATGCTCTTTATGACGCACAGTGCAAGTCTCTGATCCGTATAGTGAGTAGCACTGACTGACTTCACACTGGAGTTGAAAATCCGGATGTTATTTTTGATTCTAAGAAGTGCTGTTGATCTCCACACAGACTTGAGAGTAGTGAAAGCTTGCCTTGCTTTCCCGATCCTTGCTTTGATATCCTCATCAGTTCCGTCCAACTGTAGTTGAAACGATGCTTCCCAGGTTGGTGGGTAGGTAAAGGAGGTCTGTCTGTCTGTCTGTTTTCGACATAGAACTTTGCACTGATGTGCGGCAGTTCAAGTCGCCACAGGTTCCTCCCATTTATGCTGATCGTTGTCTGTTGTTGTTGTTCTTGTCCAGGAATTTTCATCACCTCTGTTTTCTCTATGTTCACCTGATGTCCTATCTTTGACGCTTCTTCTATCGCCAACTTGTTGCTTTTCGCTTGCATATCTTCCAGTTTGTGGGAAATCAGATATGTATCATCGGCGAAGTCCATTGCTGTTACTATTCAGTTTAGGGTGAATTCCTTTATTCAAATAATATTTATAATTATATTCACTGTTATTATTTGTTTATTGATTTATTATTTTCTTCCATTTTTAAAAATATTTTACCTTCTATAGTTACTTCTTAGAAGATGATGATCCAGGCCAACTGGAATATCAACCAGCTCCAGGTAGTCCAGCAGCTAATAAAGTCAACTCAAATGAAGCTGATGTTCAATCGGATGATTCCGATGATCCTTTAGATCAGTTTATGGCTAATATTAATGTAAGCATTCCTACTTGTTACCACTATTATTATTATTATTCATTGATTGCATTCTAAGTGGAATATAAGGCATCTGTAGCACACCTCCATTCCACTCGGTTCTTTTTTTTCGACATACGGCTATCAACCAAAGGACGTGTGTACTGCTCAGCTGCTGTTCGCTCCGTCGTTCTCTATGGCTCTGAAACATGGCCAATACGAGTTGAAGACATAAGAAGGTTGACTGTTTTTGATCATAGATGTTTACGATCTCTTTCTCACGTTAGGTGGCATAATAAGGTAAGTAATGTTGACGTTAGGCGTAGAGTGTTGGGCAAAGAGGGAAAATCAATCGACGAGGCCATAAAGTTACATAGATTGAGATGGCTATGTCACGTGCTGCGCATGCCTAAGCATCGCCTCCCTCGATGGGCGATATAGGTGCAGGTTGGAAAAGAGTAAACGGTGGCCAAACAAAAACATGGCCTCATCAATCCATGAAATCCCTGACAGTTAAACTGAGTCAGGTAGGGAGGGAGATGCAGACTTCCGGGTTGGGGCCCACCCTCGGGACTCTAAGAATCAATGGCTGGAGATAGACAATAGGTGACATGGCTCAAAATCGTTGTCAATGGCTTACGCAGATGTATTCAGTCTCTGTAATCTTTCATATTCCTTTCTACCATTATTCATTCTGTTTCACTCTTATACTTGTCAAAACTCCATTGATTCTCTTCATCACTCATCTTCTTGTCTACCTTTGTGTGCTATTTGGAAGGTGGCAACTGGAACTGGTGCATTTCGGTGCCAAGTTCTATGTTGAATCCAGACAGACAGACAGAGACTCGGTTCTTTGCCCCATCACTTCCCAATGACTTCATGGCCCTTCTCACAAGTGGGCTCACATCATTTTCGCCCGTGTCACACTCAAACGCTCAATGCATTGCTTCTTATTCGGGTTTTATTTGGGGTTGGGGTGGTTGGGGGGGCTGCCTGGTGTGTAATGCCACTCCTTCTGTATTTTTTTTGGTCAATGGAATCTTGTTGTTATTATTCGATGGTTGGAGACAATCTCGGCAGGAAGCTCTACCTAGCTAGACCTGCAATCTTGAAGGAACTGCGCTGATGTCCCTCTTGAGATTCGAACTCGTGTCATCCTCTACCCGAGTGCTGTTGCAGTCAGAGACGTTTCCTCCGAGCTATTTAGGTTCGCTATACTGGAAATCTTCGTCACTCAGTATCAAAAACAAAATTCGGATTTTCAATACAAACGTCAAGTCAGTCAGTTCTTCTATACAGATCAGAAACGTGGCGGGTCACAAAGAATATTTCCAACAGCCTGTTGCAGACCTTTATCAACAACAACTGTCTTCGCTGGCTCTATACTGAAGATCAGATGGCCGGAAAGAACAAGAACCAACAAGAAACTATGGGAACAAACAAACAAAACAAGAACCAATCGCCAAACAACAAATATGCAGGAGAAAGTGGAGATGGATTGAACACTCGTTGAGGAAGGCGCTGGGTGACATGGTGCGTCAGGCCAGTGTTCGAGTGGAACCCAAAAGGGAAGCGGCGAGTGGGACGTCTAAGGAGGGTGACATGGAGGAGATTGTGTGAAGAGGAGTTGAAACAATATGGAGTAACATGGATGCAGGTGAAAAGTACAGCAGAAGACAGAAGCAAGTGGAGACGTGCAGTTGAAGCCCTATGTTCGATTAGGAACCCAAGGGAACAAAAATAATAATAATACTGACCTGCTGTGGGGATTGTCTTGGATACCTTCGATCAACACCCAAGTCTTCCCACCGATTGCCTCCAACTATCTATCTAATAACAACATTTCAGAGTACATCGTGATGTCGATCCACCTAATATGGTGACCTTGTTTGCAAACTTGACTGATCGAATTCACCAGTCTTCATCACAAAAATAAAAGGGCTAGACACATTATAATACTAGTTATTAACTAGTGTCCAATCAATGGGCTGATCTTGGTTACCTGTCCTTTCTGGCCAACTGATCTTTCTCATTGAGGCAGCTATTTGGTGAAAGTTTTCAGAAAGCTATTAGAAATGCTTTTGTGATGGTGTTACTTATGCCCATTCCGGGCATTTCACTGTGTAGCGCTTGTGCGTCGGTGGCACAGTGGTTAGGACTCTCGCCGACCATGCACATGGTCCGGGGTTCGATCCCCTGCCGGCGCACACCCGATATCTATGGTATGCCTGAATTTGGGCAACCGATATCCATGCTGAAAATTCCATACTTGTACTGAAAATACGGTGTGGAATCAAGCTGTAAATCAAAAAAAAATAAAATAAAATAAAAAAAATAAAAAATATCACTCAACGGTCTTCTCAGCGTGTGTACTCGATCCACCTCCATTTCTTTTGGAAGATTTGTTGGCCAATAGGTTCTTCTGGGTGTGTTGGTCTGTTGCCAGAGATTTCTTGTTGTATATAATTTCTGATCGGCTGTCTGGTCTTCAGTGTATACAGAGCAAAGACACCAGTGATGATGAAAGTCTTTAGCTGTCTGTTGGATATGCTGCTCCCGGTGTACCACCAAGTGTTGCACCAGTTAAAAAAAAATCAGTGTTGCAATAAAGATGATGAGTTACAGGATCTCATCATGAGCTGACATTGGTTAGAGAACCATTGGAAAACCTTCAGAGAGTACTGGACAGCTGTTTCGTCCAAGTTTGGGGCTCTTCATCAGTACGCATCCACCGGGGTTCGAACCCAGGGCCTTCCGGTTACAAGGCTAGCAAGCTCGTAGACCATTAAGCCACTGGGAACCGATCCAATAGCCCATGAATTCTAAATTCTGCCAATTCACGATATAGCTCAACCGCTAGCCAATGTCTTTGGCGAGTATTTGTCCTCACACCCGACCTGCTGCACCCTACTGGAAAACCAATGGTTCTCTAACCAATGTCAGCTCATGATGAGATCCTGTAACCAATCAACCAAATCCCTACAAACCAATACTTGAATACCAGTGAGATGCTCACTGGTGACTGGTCCAATTCAGTTAGGTAGTTACCTAGGGTTCCAGTGGGATGTCGTGACCAGTAGGGTGCAGCATGTCGGGTGTGAGGACAAATACTCGCCGACGACATTGGCTAGCGGTTGCGCTATATTGTGAATCGGCAGAATTTAGAATTCAAGGACCATCGGATTGGGTCCCAGTGGCTCAATGGTCTACGAGCTTGCCTTGTAACCAGAAGGTCCTGGGTTCGACCCCCGTGGTGTGGGTGCGCGCTGATTAAGAGCCCCAAATTAGGACGAAACAGCTTTCCAACACTACGCAAGTTTTCCAATGGTTGTCTAACTGATGTCAGCCGATGATGAAATCCTCCATGCAGTAAAACGTACTACCTATTGTCCAAATGAATATGTTGATACAGGAAGAACTCCTCTTATAACTACCCCCCAATAAATCATTCCTTAATCAAGATTTCAGTGATGGTATCAAGGTAAATTGCCCGGTTATCTGAGGTTTGCCACTTCACTGGCTGATTACTGACAAAATCTCAGCATTGATATATAAGGCTCATGTGGCATTTGCAATCTCTGGTGCAGACGTGATTTCTGGCTGACTTTCGACCAAAGGACGTGTTTACTGCACACCAGCAGTTCTCTCTATCCTCCTTTATGGCTGTGACTGAGACATGGTCATTGACAGTGTGGAAGACATTAAAAAGCTGGCTAGCTTTCTTTGACCATTAGTGGCTGCATTCTATCTTCCATGTTAAATGGCACAATAGGGTGAGTAATATTGAGGTAAGGCTTCAGTCGAGTGTTAGATAAGGAGCGGGGGGGATTGAATCGACGAAGTCATGAAGGTGAATTGATTAAGATGGTTACGACATATGTTACACAAGCCTAGTCATGGGATTTTTTGACGGCGGGGGGGGGGCAATGTTAGCTGACGGACATAGGATCAGGTTGTAAAAGAGGTGCTAGTGGTGGTTGAACCAAAACGTGGCTTCATCAGTCCACGAGATCTTTGACAATCGGTCTGAGCCAACGGTGTAGACTGCCTTGTTAGGGTTATCGAGACGCGCAGTGCAGAAGAGGCGAAAGCGGATTGATTGTCTTAGGCAGGTTACTATTCACTTTGTAGATCATCATAAAGTAGGAGTTTTGTTGAGATAGAATGGCCAGTATTTTACAAGGTGTTTAGTAGTTATTGCACTTTTTTATATAAGCGTTGTTACCTTTCTGCTGCAACAATGTGGGGGAAAGTATTTATGAAGCCTTCTAGACAGGATCGGTGTCAAATGACTAATATACCTGATTTCACACGTACAAGAGGACTGATATATATAGTCACAACTTTCTACTTGTGGTTTATTAACCGTAAAATTTTGATTGCTTAGAGTACTTTAGGGGGGATTTCATTCACTCTTAGTTACTTCAATATTGTTCTGAGATGAAAAGGACCGATGGGGGGGATAGAAGTAATGGTGTTTGGGGAAAAAAGTATCCTCTGCATTAAGGAAATTATATCCCCGTATATTGATATATTACAATTCGTAAACAACATTGACATCTCCCTTGCCTTATTATGAATGTGTTCTCAGTGTGGTCAAGCTCCCGCGCTTCTTCTTCTGATGTTTTTCTACTAACTAACAAGTCTCTGACTACTTCTCTGAAGGTGTTCCTCGATAGCCTACGTACTATAAGTTTTTTTTTCTAAGTAGCACACGTCTCGCTTGTGCCACCTTCCGTCCTATCCCATTCATAAAGGCGTTTTATTAACTTCATCGACCTCAGCCCGCATTGTGATCCCCTTTAGACTGACAACCCATCGAATTTCGTTTCCTAATCTGTCCTTGTATCCATTGTTGTAGTAGACTGGTGTCTACACCTTTCGCCTTTTCACCTTACACTGTACACTGGACTCTCTTGATGATGGGACCTCAAGTATAGTGCTTCCAACTTCATTAAAAAGAAAAGTGGCTTTCTTCATCTTGTGTGTCAACCTCCGGGGTATATTTCGATGTTAATTAAGTCATTTATTATTATATGATTATTATATCCTTTAATTCTTAGAGGAACATAGGACTTCAACCGCGCGTCTCCATTGCGTTCGGTTCTCTGGCTCCAAGTCTGCCCACACGTTTTCATCTCCTCTTCACATGACCTCCTCCAAGTCACCCCACCTTCACACTGACGACCAAGTCGCCGCTTCCCTTTCGGGCTCCACTCGAGCAATGGCTTGTCTAGTGATGTCACTTGATGATTTGTTTCCTCAGAATATGGTTAATCCATCTCCATTTCTTCCTGCCTATTTGTTTCACAATCGGTTCCTGCTGTGTTGGTTCGCTCATTGCCAGAGATCGCTGTTGCTGATCAACTCTGGATGGGTGGCCATCTGATCTTGAGTATTGAGCGAAGACAACTGTTAATGAAGGTGTGTAGTTTGTTTGAGATGCTCTTTATGACGCGCAGTGCAAGTCTCTGATCCGTATAGTGAGTAGCACTGACTGACTTCACATTGGAGTTGAAAATCCGGATCTTATACTCATTTTCATGCTGAGTGCTGTTGATCTATCTCCACACAGAATTAAGAGTAGTGAAAGCTTGCCTTGCTTTCCCGATGATCCTCGCCCTGATGATATCCACGTCAGTTCCGTCCAGCTGTAGTTGAAACGATGCTTCTCAAATAGGTAGGTAAAGGAGGTGGTTTTCTTTCAGGCTCCTTCCATTTATGCTGGCTGATTGTTGTCTGTTGTTGTTGTTCTTGCTGTTGCTGCTGACCAGGAATCTTCATTACCTCAGTAAAGTCAATAAATTTTATTTTTTTTTTTCCCTTTTTTAACGAATCTAAATTGAAATTACTAATTTTTCATGCATATATATATGTGTAATATTTGGTTTACTCTTCAATAACAAACACACAGGAGGAGGTTAAATCGCTTCAATCTGGTGACAATAAAGAATCAAACAAGCCAAAGAAGAATATCAAAGGAAACACTAAGTAGGTGAAAAAACAATCACTTTTTTTTGTAAAGAAATTTCATCTATGCTTTGGCTATTTTGTGTAGGCTTTGCTAACGCAGATAAAGGAAAGTAAGTTAATATAGATGGGGCTGGAAATATGTTCATCACCAACCCCCCTGGTGCGCATGTGTTTATGTGTAGGGCGGGAGGTGGGGGTGGTTGGTTGAGTGAGATGTCTGTCAATTAGCTCCTTGTGTGTGTGGGGAGGCATCATCTCTGAGTGAAGACATGGTCATTGAAAGTGGAAGATATGAAAAGACTGTCTGTCTTTTTCTTAAGGTTTTCAGCAGGGTAAACAACGTGCCACTTAACCTGCTTGTTAATATTCTGGTTGACAGGCACATGGACTGACGTGAAAAATGGACCAAATCCTTTTTGTCTAACTCACACCACCCTCTCCACTCACAACTCTCCCCTTACATCTCATCAGGCAAAACCAGAAGCCTATATAGAAAACTGTGTGCTCACACCAGCAAGTACAAAAACTCAACCATACCCTACTTAGCTCGTGTTCTGTGCGATAAAGAAAGAATAAGGCATGACACCTATGATTCATTAAATAGTCAGTAGAACAACTGGACCTCGTCTTTCCAACTCATATTATTTATAGGTACAACATTTTCTTTCTTTCTTTTCCTTTTCTCTCTCTCTCTTTTTCCCGTTATGTGCTGCTTTGTTTCTTTCTCTCGCACACGCCAGTAAGTATGACAGCTCCTACTTTTCTAACACCTTCTAACACTGTTCAACTTTGGCTTTGCTACCGACATGCCAATGTGTTGTTGTCATAATGAACTGAGATTTCCTTAATCTATGTAGAATTCTATTTATTGATAATGTACTAACTGGATGCAATACTGTAGTAAAAATGCTGAGAATTCCATTCTGTATCACAAGTGCTGTTTTGGAATTAAGCAAATTATTATTATTTCTGTCTCTTCCATGTTAAAAGGCTTTAATATTGTGAATAATATCTGGGATTGGGCGTAGAGTGTGTGTGAAGTAAGCATAGAAACTGTGTTGATTGAGATGGCTAGGACACATGTTATATGCGTTAAACCACTGCCTTCCTCATCGAATAATCTTATCTGACATACGATTTATCTGCAAAAGAGTCAGAGGTGGTTATATACAAGACACTATATCAATTGATGAAGTCTTTAACTGTCTGTTCATAGGACTGGACGACTGACTGACTGACTCATAGCTTAGAAATAGGGAGTGAAGTGGTAGAGCACGTTGACCGCTTCACTTATGTGGTTGGGAAGTTGCATCAGCCAACCGACCGACCGAAGACCATTTACACCGATAGGTTTTAGAATCAGAGTTTTCGAACACCTCTGTAGGTCAGAAGACTTTCATGTCGACCAATCCATTTGTAATCGTTAGATATTCTCTAATTCAGCCTTTTGTCATTTTTGTGTGAAACTTTCTCGCCACGTGATGAATCGCAGTGTATCGAGCTAATCTGACAAAGATTATGAACATATATGGCCATATGAGAGAGCATTTTGAGAGGTTGACGACAGTCTACCCATCCTTGAGCGTACCATGTGATTTATGAAGAGAGGAGATCGTGTGTGTGTGTATTTAATGCATATGCATTGTGATTGCTGAGTTTTCCTCTGATTTGCCCCTGATTTACTCGTCTACCCCATACAGTTGATCTCACGGTCAATTGGTCGGTCGGTCGGTTTTCGACATAGAACTTGGCACATATGTGCGGCACTTCAAATCGTCACACTCCCTTCATGTAGCACACAAAGCAACAGAAGAAAGTAGGAGAAATGCATAATATAGACAGCAAACAGAGGTGTGAGACAAAGGAACAGTAATAACGAAGAACGAAACAGTTTAATTGGAAATCATAAGTCACAAGGAGTGGATGCATCTGTGCCACTGAGAACGATTTTGAGCCATGTCACCAATTGTTTCCAACCATTGGTGATTACATAAAATAGTATAATCGAAATGGTTAATTTGGGTCCTTAAGGTTTACAGAGCTTTTTCCTGAGTGAGTGAGTTTTGTAGGTTCGGATACCTTCTTCCTGTTTCCTGGTTTATTTAAAACCCCCCACGTAAGGTTTTAGATGTCGCTTCCTTATATGACAAAACTACTGTAGACGCCTTGAATTCTATCTTATCTATGTTGTAATCTGTTTTTTTCATATTTTTTTATTCCTTTAAGTTCCCAGTGGAACATAAGGCACCTTCAAGCTGAAGTTTCTGTAGCAGGTGGTGTTTATTACTTTTACGGAATAGGGTTGTTAGCCAGTCTCATGCCCAACCTTCCCTCTTTACCAATCTGCTCCTCTTCTCACTTTTGTGTCCAACAGGCTCCGCCTCTGCTTCCTTGAGATTGAGATGAAGTCAATTTGGTTTTTGGTTCGCCCATCTGGTGACACCCATGTAGCCTTGTGAATATCCTTGTGTTTGTATACGCTGCCACCAATCACTACTTCATTGAAGGTGTAGAAGTCAGCGAAGAGTTCTCCATTTTCATTCATTTCTCCGAGAGCTTCTCTACCCATGATGAGTTCCCTTCTTGTGTTGTCTGGTCCCAGTTTGGCGTTCATGTCTCCCATTAGTATTTTAATGTCACCAACTGGAGTATTGTCCATTGTTGTCTGTAAAACTGTTCTTTCTTCTCGAGATCTGCGTTTTTGGATGTATAGCATTGTATAACTGACACTTTCCTACCTTTGAAGTTGAATCTGGCGGTCATTAACCTGGGCGAGATCGCCTCCCATTGCATGAGGGCCTTCGTTGCCGTTGGTGAAATCATGATATCCACACCCTCTGTGTGCATGTGGTTATCCTCTGGGTGACCGGAGTAGATCACTGACTCACCCGTTGACAATTTGGTGAGTCCATTCCCGTTCCATGTGCTTTCACATATTCCCAGTACTTGAATTCCGTATCTTTTCATTTCGTTTGCGATCTGTGCAGCTTTGCTAATCTCGTACATGGTGCGGACATTCCATGTCCCCACACAGACTTTTTCTTTTGGCTCAAGGAGATTCATCGTGCTGAAGTTTCTGTAACAACTTTGTTTACAGGGTGGGGTTGCTAGCCTCACGCCTGAGAAGGGGATTGTTACATTTAATTATAGTTTAGAGAGAAGCGACCCCTTAAAACCAGGAAAACAGGGAATAAACAAGCAGAAAAACACCAGCACGGGAAAATAATTCACAACAAGAAGGGTAACAAGCGACAACAACAGTAATAATATCACAGTCAATTACAGTTAACCAAAATGATACCAAAATCATAGACTCACTGACTTGAGCCAACTTGAACATGTAAATCCATCAATATATATACAATTATAGGTATTAGTTAGTGTTAAACAAGCACAGAGTGGCAAATAGATAGTTATAGGTATTATCGGTCTACAATATTATATCCAAAGATTCAGTGTTCGAAAGGCAAATAATTGCAACTTTTTGGCAAGATATTTCACAAAAATAAGAGTTTTAGGTAACTATGTAAATGTAACGTATTAATCAAAAAGCCCGTCAAGTTAGTTTATAGTTTTACCATTATTTATTTATTTATTTATTCTATAATGGAAAACTTTCTCCTTCATCTTCGTTTTTCTTTTCACTTTCCAGAGGTGTACGTGATGATATTGAACAAGAGGATGAAATAGAATCGTATATGCGATTTATGGAAGAAAATCCTCATCTTGGATTAGCTGCAGATGAAGATGAAGAAGTCTATGAATACGATGCTGATGGCAATATTATTGGTACTGAGAAAAAGGTGAGAGAGAGTAACTTAATCATACTGACTTGATTTTACGATGATGTGAATGCATTTCCCCCAACCACCACCCACACCTACCCTCTCTATCTCTCCCTTCTACAGTTTATTCAGGAGTGTTGCTGTATATCCATGAAGGTGTGTGGTTCATGCAGCTTAAGCTCTTGACTGACTCCCAGTTAACTCGTCCTCCTTGTTCGAATCTCACTCTACTTACATTAACTTAGGCAACAAACTGGGCAGTTAGTTGTGAATTTCTCCCGAAAGAAATCCGAAACGATAATCCAAACTATAGATTTAACCACACGTAGAGTGACGGACGAAATACAGGATATTCTGCAATACGGTACTTTATTACATCAAAAAATAGATATATAATATACAAACCTCAAAAATGTGAGGTGTCTGTGGCTAAATGCCGTCAAATGCACAACCACTGTGCAGTTAATAAGTAAAAATAGCAATGCTGTGTGTGTCAAGGTCGATCCACGTGTCGGTTCAAATGGCCCGCGAATGCCAAGGAAAGAATAAACAAATATGAACAAACAACTTTCAATAGTTAAGCATACACTATAGGGTAAGGTCAGCAAATAATGCTTAAGGAGAAGAAAAATAAGAACTATAGATTAATAGAATGATAATAGAACAAGTAATTTAACTGCAGTTGTAAGCGAATGTCATTGTTATAAATTAACATATAAAAATCATACTACTTACTAATGGCAAGTAGTATAATGTTGAACAAAGGAAAGAGTGAGAATGAACAGGTAGGAAAAGAATTAACAGCAGTAGTATCAGTTGTCATACAATAACTCTGTGTGTGTGTGTATGTATGGTTCGTACTCTTGATCTCTGAGTGGATGACATGATATACGGACATCGGATAGACAACTTAAGTGTTATTTAATTTAATTTAATTTCAACCCTTCCGTTGATTGATTGATTGATTGATTGAACTGAAGTGAACAGCCTCAGGTTGAAATATCGGTTCCTTGAGCAGCAGACACTTTACAAGACGTGGCCAAACCGGTCCTAGCGGTTTGTGCTTTGACGTTTGAAACTATGGGTACTATGGGTTCAAGTCCTGATAGGAACAGAAAGTAAATCCAGATGACGTGAGTCCCATGGTAGGGCGAAACACGCATCCTCGTGGATTCCACACTGCTAGCAGTCACCATCCATGAAATTAATTCAAATTTTAGTTTAGATAAAGCAATAAGAAGACGTAATTTGTCTGAATCGTGTAATGTTGTATTTGCGCGCACAACACATTTCGAACAATCTGATCACACTCCACGGACTTGTCATAGGAATGTGTATATATGAAATTAATAAAGAGGTAAGCGGTGAGCATATTCCTAAATCCCGACCGATAACTGCTACCTTGCCGTAGTGGTCAGGCTTGAATGCCGCAGTGACCCAACAAGCTAAACTGGCTGGGACTCATGTCCCTGCAGGTCCTACCATGTCAGGAAGGTTGTTTGGATAGCGGTTAGACTAAAAGCAGTTACCATGGGGTACATGGGCTCCAGAGTTCAATCGGATCAAATGGCGTATGAACCCATATGGGTCACCGGCAACCATGGGAACGCAGCTCCTGACGCTGCTCCGCTCCCTTGAGGATTAGACTCCTAGTCGAAGGCTCGGGGAGTGGTCCCTTAGGAAAACCACCTGCTTCGGTCTGGGCGCCCGGGCAGTATCTCAGCCCTCACACAATATTGTGTGGCGCATCTTTCTTGGTGCCATATTGTACCAAGTTTTTCTGCGTTTAAATAAATAAATAAATAAATATATTCCTAGCATATTGTACCAAGTTTTTCTGCGTTTAAATAAATAAATAAATAAATATATTCCTAAATGGCTCCAGACACAAATGGAATCTTCAGAACCTATTAACGGTGACAACAGGAGACCTAGCTCTTCTATTGCGAAATATATTATAGAGACAGGACATAAAGTTGACGTTAACACATCTTTTAAACCTATCTATAAAAAGTGATTGAGGGAGAGAGTATCCTAAAGTTTGTGGAAGCCCTAGCTAGCAATTAGAAAGTTTAAACCACCTTTATGCGTTCAAAGCAACAATTCGTCATCACATTAAACCTTACTTGGTAAGTTTTGTTTTTTATACCAGTCAGGGTAGATGTACTATTACCTCTGCCATTTGGTTTAGTGGTCTTCATTGTAATTTTGACCTTCAATATGTCCTTTTAGCTTAAGTCTATTTTCTCACCTCTCAACTGTTTATCAATTTCACACATATGTATTCTTATGACAAGTCCGTGGAGTGTGATCAGATTGTTTGAAATGTGTTGTGCGCGGAAATACATTACACGATTCAGACAAATTACGAGTATTTATTGCTTTATCAAAATTCATAAAGGGAACTAATTGTTTGAAATGTTAGTTTGTAGAAATTTGATTGGATTTTAGTTTAACCATAAATCGAAACCACGGAAGCACTAAACAACTGTCTTTCGTCCTTCTTCGAGACTCTTCATTGGTAAATACACAAGAGTACACCAACAATCCAAGCTAGTATCTTCAGGTTACAAAGCGAAATCGTGTAGCATTCATTCAGGCACGGGGATAGAATCCAAAGACCCATTATTTGTAACTTCTTTCATTTTGCGATCGATGTTTACCGCCAATGGTAGCCAAATTCCATTGTCAAGTATTTCTCCTCAGATCCGACCTGATGGGGACCCCACTCTGATCAGGATTTCTTCCTAGAATTACAGTCACCATCATTCGGTAGTCAGTTGCTAGTGAGTATCGCATTCATGGGTCATCCGATTTCGTCCCAATAGTTGAATAGCCAATCAGTGACCTCCTAATTTTTGAAGCTGTTCCCGTCTATCCTTGGATAGTCGTAGACTAGTACAAAACAGCTATCCACTGCTGCCTGATATTGCCATTACTATTATTAGTCTTTATTAAGTTTAGATAATTACGTAATATAAGTATTATTTGGCTTGGAAACAAACGCTAACTAGATAGACAATAAAATAAAATTGATTCAGTGAATCGGATGACGTAACACAATTGAGTAGAATTCAGAGTAGGTGGTTAAAATTAAATAAGGGTGGGTGTAGAGAATAATACAGTTGAACATTAAGTAAAGTAATCGGATGACGCAATATAGTTGACTAGAAATTGGACGTGGGTCGAGTTAGCAACATTGTTAATGAAGGTAGAGATTACAAAAGGGTGGGGTAGAGAATAATACAAATGAAGGTAACAACGGAGCAATAAGGAGCGCCATTATTGAGCATATACTCAACACTGGCCATTCGATTTGCAAGGAGAAGTCGTTCAAAGTCAAAAGAAGCCTTCCAAAATCGACAAGCTTCCGTATACTTTGTATTGCTGAAGCCTTAGCGATTTGGATGGAAAAGCCTGAGTTATGCACACAGAAGAAACTTCTCCACCCCCTCCTGCTACCGTGGGTTTAATTCCAAGTTTATTTGTCATCAACATTTTGTTATCAAATTTTTTTGCAATTTTCGTATAACAATTTTTAGTAACTAACCCATTCAATCTTTTCACCTATTATCTAGTTTATTTTCATAATTGTCTCCAAACTCCTTCACTAGCATCTAATCTTTCTAAACATGTCCATATTACGTAACCCTACTCACATCTTACCAATCTTCACCCCACTTAGTTACAACTTTGAGTATTAATCACACATTTTAACTTCTTCATTATTTTGATGATGTAACCCTACTCACATCTTACCAATCTTCACCCCACTTAGTTACAACTTTGAGTATTAATCACACATTTTAACTTCTTCATTATTTTGATGATGTAACTCTACTCACATCTTACCAATCTTCACCCCACTTAGTTACAACTTTGAGTATTAATCACATATTTTAACTTCTTCATTATCTTGATGATATAATCAACAACCCACACTAACTGTTATTTTGATTTTGACAAACCTAATGTACACACACACACAAAATAATTGTATATATATTTGCGACTGTACAGCTAAGTGAATGAATTCGCCGAAAAGAGACTCTTCGCTGAACTAATTTGTTCTTATTTCAATGTCTTAATGGGTATATTTCGCGAAATGAAGATGTGTAAAAGCCTGGACGCCATAGAAGATGAAATGAACACTTAAAAAAATCCTCCGTGAAAATAGCTATCCAGAAAAATTTATCACAGAATCAATGAAACCGAGACCAGAGAAGCCGCCCACACCCAGTGCTCCAAAAAGACGTCTCTAAGTGAACCTATAGTTCAATGGAGACCAATCTACAGAAATACTGAGAAATCGGCTTTCCCGCTCATTGAAGAAAACCTTCATTGCAGCTAAATTACGAATGACGTTCTCCACGAGACCAATGATTCGCATGAACGTGAAGGATAAGCTACCGCTGTCGGCCTCATCTATGTGCATCTACCAATTCACCTGCTTGTGTGGAGCCAGGTATATCGGCCGTACTCAGCGTTCGCTATCCAAACGCGTCAACGAACATTTACCTTCATGGTTTTATAAAGGAGAAAACCGATGCCTCCGCAGCTCGATCCTTGAACATTTGATCGATTCAGGATACCAAGTCAAACCAGAAATAAACTTCAAAGTTATCTACAGAATACAAGGCAATCTTGCTAAAAGTGTACGGATCAAACTTCTCCACATCGCAGAAGCAATGGCAATTCATCTGCTAAATCCTGAACTTTGCATACAAAAGAAATTCGTTCATTCATTAAATCTACAATGGGCGTAATCTTTCTTAATTTCAGTCTTACTAATTGCATTATTTTGTCTTTGGCATTTAATTATTTCACATCTTCATTTATATTATTCTCTACCCCACCCTTTTGTAATCTCTACCTTCGTTAACAATGTTGCTAACTCGACCCACGTCCAATTTCTAGTCAACTACATTACGTCACCCGATTAACTTACCTAATTTTCAACTGTATTATTCTCTACCACCACCCGAATTTAATTTTAACCACCACTCATTAACACTGTT